TTTCCTCCAATTGTCAGTCTTAGAAACTTTGTATTTTGTTCCAGAGGAAATTATCTTATTACATCCCAATGATACCGTTACCGTTTAAATAGAAGAGGGTGTATCCTGTTGATATTTCTACTCAGACAAAAAGATCAAGATTGTTAAAATGACAGCGTCTTTTAGAAAGCCCACATCAAAAAAGTAAAGCACAACCAGAAGTAGAGCAGCTTTCATTAGTTTTGCTAGTGCTTTAAGAATATATTATTTATAGTACTAACTTTAAAAAATATTTCCCTACTCCAAAATTATCTTTTAGCTTTAGACATTAAGTATCACTGGACTTTCTTCTCAGTATTTCCACACAAAACAACCTTGACTATATAAACTATAGTTACAGCAATACCACTAGACCCACACAGGTGCAATCAGCATAACCTTCACTACATGTGTGTAGCTGATTCCTAAATTTGAGGAGCTAAACTAGTACAACTGCATACAGAGATCAAGGTGTATAACTAAACTACATGAAGACACACAAAAAGGTTAATCGTTAAAGATATACCTGCAAATATTTAAATACAAGAACTACACATAGAGGAGACTTTAGGAGTCAGATTTATATAACCAACATAAAGCCGTGGCTTCATGCGTACTCAAGCTGGTTATGGCCCTCATTTTTCTATTGTCATGCTTAGTTTTAATTACACTGTATTCTTCAAACACTAGTCTCTTTCAGCTAACTCCACCATGGATTTTAGAACTTCAATACACAGTCTGAACTGTGGGCTCTGAGCCCAGCCACGAGACAACAAGATGATATCATGGTTCAGTCTGAGAGGAATATATACTTGAGCAAAGGATAGAGACTAGATAACTCCACGGAGAAAAGCGGCTTCATAGCACGCTGGTCCGCTCCAGGAGATGCATCACTTGAAGGACTTACAAAACCTAAGCAGACAGAGCTGCACAGTGTTGGCCCTGCTTGTACACTTCAGCTGAACCAGTTCCCACAGGTCACCACTCTTCTCACCCTCACGCGGGAACAGAGTAATTGCTGGGAGGAAGTGAGAGAGCTTCATTATGAGGCTTCAAGCGTTTGAGGAACTGCATGTAACATTACATACCAACTGTTCTTGTAAATAAAGGCTGCTGCTGAACCAATTAGGGGAGCAAATACTAGACATTTGTTGTGTTGATGTAACTGCTAATGGTCTGCAAATGACTACATGAAGGCGTACCCAGCCCAGTAACAGCTTCTGAAGGTCTAACAAAATATTCTGAACTTGATTCACATCACTGAAAACATTTCCCCACATCTAGAGAAAAATTTTACCCAGTTCTACCTTATGTTTTATGTTAAAATAGACCACAAATCTTTACCCACTTTTGAGTGCTTTTACGTGCAGAAAATACATTTTCCTCTTCTATGAAACTTCAGCGGCTCAGAATTATTGAGAGAGTTTATGTATGCACACGTACACACATACAAAAAAGCACAGGCACACATATACGAATGTGCATGCAAAGGCAGCCTAGCCAACAAGTCTCCTGTTCAGAGTACATTTACACATTAGCTACTAAAGAGTTATTAAGTTCCGCAAATTCCTGGAGTAAAACTCTTATCATGCTCAGACAGCTGAGAGTCATGCGGCCATTTGAATGGAAATGATTCCTAGCATGCCTGCATGACAGAGCACGGGGACCCTCACAAAAAGGGGCAGTTCTAGACATACCTTAGGCATCCTCCAGTCTAACCAGGCTTGCTGGCGCTTTTTGGTGTTTTTTTTGATTGGTTGGTTTTTGTTTGTTTAAGAAAATGCTTTCCAAAACACCTCTTCATCTCTATTTCTCACTGCTCTCCGATTTTAACAAAACTAAGCAGAATATGACAAAATTATTAGAGAATATTCATTATTACCATCAATCTAGTTAACGGGTCTTGGAAATACAGGAGATGGATCAATTTAATTTAGAAAACAGAGTTCACATAAAAAAACCACAATAACAAAAAGCAGTTAAAGGCATACACGGAAAAAATTACACTAGATATTTAAAATGTTCAGCTATGTATTTCGTCATTCATTCTATTTCTCATAAACCAGAAGGTTTTAAGGCTACACTTGGATGAACTCCTCCAAGAAGGCTGCCAGCTCTGCTGGCAGAGATGGTACAAGGTCACAGCAATACCCTGAGCTCTAATCCCAAACAGTGGTGACTCCATGACTACCACTTCACTAGATCTTCAATACACACTTTCCTAACATGTTATTTTCTCAGGTTTAAGCACTAAATTGTTACACTCATGCATTCTGAAACATCCTACTATTTAGATTTAACTCACTCCAAGAATCAGTCAGATCTCTGAAATGTGCTAATGTTTCCAAATGAACATGTCTGAAACAATACTCCACACACACAAACAGCACCTTCCCTCATGCAACAGACTGGTAATTAAACTTCTTCCGCAGAAGGAATTCTCCATCCTTTTGTTAAGGAAGGCCTGAAACATCAAAAGTAGTAACTTATTTCAAGCACATACTACCAACACAGCTTTGAAGACTTACAAATAACGTCTATGAACTGCCAAACCTAAGCTGAGGATGTCTCAAGACAGTTTCATCTTATCCAGTATGCAGCTGGTAGGAACAAAACTGGAGAATTTCTATTATCTTCATTGCGTCCTGCCTATTCCAGACACTTAGTTGCTCATCCTTACATTGTAAAGTAGTTCTTTGTAAAGGCTAGCTCTGAATCATATCACTGAACTGATCAGGTAGAAGATAACTCCCTAATAATACTAAAAAGGAATAAATGAGGCAGACAGGCAGAAAAGAACAAGTACAAACTTCTTAAGTCTGCTTTTTCTGAATACATAGGCAGTAGCTCAATCACTGCTGCTACTGTTCAGAGTTACACAGAGATGATGCAGAGGTGGGGAAAATGGCCCATTTTAGTATTCATTGTCATTTTTTGGAAACCTGCTAGCACCAGTGATCTTGTTCAGGTATCTGCCATTTCCCTTCCATTAAGACAGGCAGACACAACAAAAGGCTCAATGCCATTTTGTGCAATCGGGCTCAGGTGCTTGATATTAACAGACACATTTTTGTGTCTTCAACATAGTAAAAAGGTGAGATAACATATTATCACTATGACTACGTCTTCAAAAAAAGCAGAAATAGTAAAACACCAGGCTGTCAATGAAACAATGCTGGACTACTTTGGGGTAATTTCTCACATCTGCAGAATTATTAGATCTCCAAATCCTTACAGTTGGTATTTTTACATAAGAATCTGTCCAGTGTAGTCCAGACTTACTAAATTACATGCAACAAGTCTTTGCAAAAATGTTCAACTCATGTAGCAATTTAAAAATTCAAGTTCGAGGTCGTGCCACTCTATCTACACATTTCAGATCACAGTGCAGACTGTAGTCAAACCAGTTTCACCAATACTCCCAGAAAGATCAACTTCCTATTACACAATGCAGAAGAAACAGAGTATTGTCACACACTCTTTGTTTCTGCCTTGTCATCTCTTTACTGTGGCAGAATCCTCACACGTGACCCATCACTGCACCACACACCATTTTTACCATGAATTAAATTCCATATCTCCTGTATACACCTCACCAAAGGAAACCTAAGTGTATTCTCAAACGTTTTATTAGTGATAGTGAGAATCTAATACTGTAATTAACAGAAACTGAAATAAGTTGGTTTGCTTGGAGGCAATGGAGGCAGCCTAAGACAATCTCTTTGGGATATTACCACAAATTCTGTAAGCAAACAGATTAGCAATGAATGCCCCTCCCTCTTCATGACTATCATAACATTACGGACATTTGCAAAAATAATCCTTTCCAGTGGGTTTAGAAACAATTTCATCTGCAAATTCATCTGTATGTATCAACCAACTAGGACTTCTTTTTGTCTACTTATACATTTGAAAAACACCTCTATATTTTAAATAGATACTTATGTAACATATCAGGTATTTAAAAGAACTCTCAGTGTTAACCTATAAAAAACATCTTCCTCTACTAATAATGATAGTAATAATTATTATGTGAAGGATAATCCGTCTTAACTTCACATATGAATTTTAAATCAAAATGACAAAAACTGCTTTCTAATGCCACACTGAGTTTTCCGTTTCAAGTTTGTAAGCAGACACACAGATAAAAGCACACCTTTCAGTGTATGTGCAAGTATAGTTGACTGTGTGCCAAAGAAAGAATAACATGCAATAGAAGTGTGATAATTCCCACTAATAACACGGCACATTCCTTTATCTCCTTGGTATAACACAGTGCTTATCACACCACTAATAGTACATCTCAGTGCTCTATGTAAAGGCTTGCATGCATCTTTTTCCAAAACAAAAGACCTGAGTTCTAACTTACACTCTAATTTCATCTTTAAAGCAACAACGAAACCTTACTAGCTGCATCGTACACCTCTTATACTATGCTGTGGTAACCAAACCTGGCTTATTGTACAGCGTGCATATATGGGAATTTACTTTGGGTGAGGAAAAAAATTCCATCACATAATGACATGTCTAGAAAACATAATTGTTAGCAAAACAAGTTCTCACAAACCACCTTGAAAAATTAATCAGTGTTTTGGTTTTGCCATTTTAATTGTATTTTTAATGAAAGTTTGAAAGGTCTGTTAAAACTTGCTCTATAGAGAACCTTAACTGTGAGTCTTGTGACAGTTTGTTGTCAGAATAAACATCAGACACTGAATGCCTCGAATTCATATGGATATAATCTGTAATGATACCACAGATCACCGTATCCTACGGGGTCTGATTCATCTACAGCATTCATCCTATGAATGTATGGAAATAAACCCTCAGATAAATAAAACCATCTTCGTGGACAGGTTTCCACTATTTTTACCTCGGTAATTATTCCAACTCCACTGCAATGAACTTCAAAAACTATTTTGATTCAAAAGAAAAGAAAAAAAAAAAACCCACAAAGAAATTCGACACTAAAGCAAACTTACAGCAAAAGATAAAAGCCGTACAACTACTCTTTTGTCGACGGCAGATGCTAATCCAAATTCACCACAAAAGCCGTACGGCAGCACCGATCTCCCAGCGAAGTCGTCACCAGACGGCAGGGATATAAACCGTACATCCGACGCAAAGTGAATCGGGCAGCGCAAATGGCTGAAGCGAAAGCCTTTCCCACGATGCGAGCACACACGAGGCGGACACACCCTTTCGTAAAAAAAGACGCCAATTTGTGGAGCAAGAGGGAGACGAGCAGGTCGGAGTGCCCCCGCCTCAGGAATGCGGGGAATCCCGGAGGAACGCGCGCGGGCACGGCGACCTGACGACCTTCCGCGGCCCTCCGCGCAGCGCCCGCTCACCTGAGCGCGGGGATCCCGGCGGCGCGGCCGGCAGAGGCACCGCACCGCCGCCCGGGCCAGAAGAGACCCCTCCCCTTCGCAGCAGAAAAGTTCAGGGCTCTGCGGAGGCGGTTTTCCCGGCGGCTGCCGTCCCCGCGGCCCGCTGGCAGCGCGCCCGTCTCCGCTCGCCGCGCCCGAAGCGCTGCCCCGAGGGGCGCCGGGGGAGGGGGGGTGAAGGCCCGGCGCTTCGCTGCCCGCTGCGCGGCACGGCCGTGCGCAGAGCCGCTCCGTGCCGCCCTCACGGGCCCCCGGCCTTCGGAAAGCGCCGTGCCTAACGGAGTGAGGAAGGAGAACGCCACCGACCCGCGGGGAGCCCCCTCCGCAGCCGCGCTCCCCGGTGTTCGCCGCGCTCCGCTCAGGTCACGCCGCGGCCCCCCGCCCGCCCGTCCGTCCGTCCGTCCGTCCGTCCCCGCGAGGAGATCCGGGCGGCGCCGTGCCGTCTCCCCTCAGTTCCCAGCGCCCCCGTCGCCACCGCTTTCCTCACCGTTGCCCTCTCCGACAACTCGGAGCCGCTCTCGCCGCCGCCCCGGGGCAGTCCCGCTCTCCGCCGGAGCCGAGCGCGGACTGCCCGCCCCTCCTGCGGGGGAGGGGGTGCCGGGGCCGCCGTGCCGTGCGGTGCCGGGGAGGAGCCCGCGGGGGCGCTCCCTCAGGTGAGCGAGGGGCTGCCTCGCCTCGTGCGCGCGCTGCGCTTTCCCGCCCATGGCCTGAGGCGAGCGCGGCGCACGGGGGGCCGGCGAGGCGCCCACGCGCCTACACGCCGCTCCTGCTTTGTTCCGCCTGCGGCAAACGGTGCCGGGACGAAAGGGGGCGGCTGGAACGGTCCTCTAGCGCAGCAGCCCGGGCCCAGGTACCGTCGGCTCGAGGCCGCCTGTCAGCCGAGAGTTGTTTTGCCCGATGAGCGCGGCGCGGGGGCGGCGGGAGTTGCTGAGGCGGCGCGGGGACGGGGCGGGCAGCGCGGGTCTGAACGTGCGGAGGTGAGCGGAGCGCCGCGCAGCCGACAGGGCGGCACGGCCGTCCTCGGAGAACGAAGCCACCGGTGCCTCCGGGCACGCCCCAGCTGTCCTCAGCATTCTGAATGGTGCTCACGGTGTCTTCAGTTAGACTGGAAATACAACAGGTTGCAGATTCCCGGGATAGCCTCCTTATGTAACGAGACCTGAAGGGCTGCCACGCTGCAGCAAGGCTCCCTTCACCCGTGTGTGAGGGAAGGACACGTGTAAGGAGCCAAGGTTTGCGAGTATGTCATTAAAAAAAAAAAAAAGACAACAACAACAAGCACAACAGCAACTCCCTGTAAGCATCTCACAAGAACTGGGCCTCATTTATTTTTTTACACTGCCAGAAATTTGTTTCTTACAATACAACTTGTATGGTAAGAAAAAAATGCTTATAGCAACAGTATAGGGGGAAAAAAGAGGTTTGTGTCTAGGGTGTGGAGAGGAACATGCAGGGCAGGAAGAATTCTGTATATAAACAACAAAAGCCACTTGCAGAGCTGTTCTGCTGGAAGCATGTGGATAAGCACACATCCTCTTTCAAATCCAGTTGTACCTGAGGTCACTGCTCCTCACATTTCTACCAGAACTGCTCTGCTACCTCTGATGTGTCTGCAAAAAAAACCTTAGCTGGCAAACATCTCAACATAAGCTATAGAGAACTGCATTATTTGCTGTAGAGAATGCCCCTGTCTTAATTAAGATGTATAAAAAGTTGTTCAACAGGAAAAGGAACTGCTCCCTATGACATCAGTAATGCCATTTCTGGGACACACTGCCCAGTTTTAGGGCCTGTGTGGGAGAGATGTTAAAGCTCACACAAATCTGCACCAGGATAGAAAATTAAGTGTGTTCTGAGAATTTATAGAAACATGCATATTCTACTATACTAAGTCTGTATTGGTACCTGCAAGAAAAATAGTTTGTGCTAATACACTATACTGGTAGTTTATCCATAGAAATAATTATGAACCGTGTCAATTGGACACTTTCCAAATAGTTTTCTGAAGAGCAAGTGAGAGAGAGAGGAAGAGAGGTGTCATCAGACATCTAACAAAATTTTCCATTGCTAAGAGGACTTATGTTGTGGAAAAATGCATCTGTACATAATGTACTAAATTCATGATCTCTCAAAATGTTTGTTAAAAGGAAAGCCGTAGTTGAACTATTTTAGATTCTTCTGCTTCTATTACATTAAGTTGATCTGACAGAAAATACTTACGATCCACAACAGCCAGAACTTTTGTCACCGTCTTGATTTTTTAAAATATATTTCCAGCATTCAAATCTTGCTTTCCATACACATTTTTTCACATACCAGTGCCCGTGTCTAATCATAAAACTATTTAAGTAAAGGCTTTATATATTTTGCTTAGCTCCTTTCACTGAGGTTTTCAAAACATACACAAGGTTTATCCCATCATCCCCATTTGTAAAACTGAGAAAGAAGGAGTGGGAAGAAACAAAAGTAATTAAACTGTTCTTCACAAACTATGTGACAGAGTTGTCAGTCAGATACACATACATATGTCTGTGTCTTATTACCATTGAAGTATGAAGAAATAAGCTGATAGTTTGTTCAGCTTCTTACTGTAGTTTTGTAACGTTTGAAGGAATCAAACTTAATAAGCAGCAACAAAATTCTTCAGTCAAGGGGTGTGTAATTATCAGGTTGTTGTTACAGGTTAACTAAAGCATGTGTTCATCAACAGTTATACAGTGATGCATTTCCATTGCACATAGAAGCAAACCAGAAAAAAAGCTAAAAAAAAAAAGAAAAAAAATCAAGCTATGACGACTAAGCATCAATATTATATAGTCTCTAATTAGTTTTTTCATGATGCATCACTATCAGGTAGCAGCTGAGGAGTCAGTGCAATGGGGTACATTCAGTATTAAACTGCTTAGGAAGCTTTCCTTCTGTTCTGCATTTCTCAGTTTCACAAGTGTTATTTCATATGATTTTTGAACTATATATATATATAAATACAAAATACTGATATTTTAATACATAATATTTATATATATATATATATATTTTTTTTTTTTAATCAAAGAGAAATAGATGGGACTAGCACAACTGCTAAAATTCTTATTTAGACTATGAGATTCCTGCCTAGACTGAAAAGGAGACCTTTGGCTGGATTCCTGCTTTATAAGCCTTTGTGAACATTTTAATCTGAACTTTTCATTTTTCATGAAGTTTCAGTCAAATATTTTCTTCAGATGATTTTGTATAGAGCTTTGTCATAGTCTGAGCACGAGCACTAGGAGTACTTGGCATAATGATGCTACAAGCATTAAGCATGTAGTGTAGTCCAGCTGAAATTACTGCAAAAGCACAAGATTGTCCAGTGAGATAAGAATTTTTTGAAGAAATGCATATAAATACAATAATAAGATAGCATTACACAAGATAGAGTTAGGTCATTTACAGAACATCATCTCATCTCAGTGCAGGCTACCATTTCCTTTCTCACCCTCAACCACCAACTTTTCTCTTCCTCTCTTTTCAATAAAAGCTTTGGTCCTTGTTTACAAAACTGGTTCAACACTATGATTAATGTCTCTGTCAGTGCAGGCAGTGTGTCATCAGGCAGTTGTGAAATACAATACTAAGTGGAGTATGCAGCTGAAGCAAAAACAAACAGAAATGCTCTAGCTTGTGTTGTAGATTAATTCCAGCTGCTAGCTACTCCAGCACACCTCCACAATTGCATAGCACTCACTAAATTCAGCTCTCCGTCCTCACTGAGTCAGACTGTAATGAAAGCTTGGTGTTAAAAGTGCCATGCTTGGCTTCCAGCAAGGTGCACCTCTATCTCTTACTATTCTACCACACGTTGAACTGAATTATGACTTTTTATTATAGTCCCCTGGTTTCTTTGTTGGAAAAAAATCTAATAATCACACTGGAGAAAGGTATATGAAAGGTATATAAGTTTTTTGAAACACTGCTTCTGACCATCTGTTACAATTACATATGCATTTTTTCTCCTTATTTTAAAAGTCTAGGTGTCTGTTGCTTAAGAAATGGCAATTATCCCTGATATTATTGTATTCAGTAAGATGTTTAATAGATATTTTAACCTATTTCTTATTTGAGGAAGCACTAGCTTTAAAATTCTGGCCTCCTTTCTAGTTTCTACCCTTATTTTCACTGTCTTGTTTTCTGAAAACATTTTCTCTTAAGCACAATGTTTACAGAGTTGTTTCTAAAATTGTATCTGTATTTGTTCTCAACCATTTAAACAAACTTTACAAGGCATATTTGAGTTATATGAGCATGCAAATGTACCCTTTTGGAAAAATAGACCACTTTGGTAGCATGAAACACCAAAAAGAAGCTGTATTTTAAATAATGAATTTACTTTGGTATAAATTTCTTTCCAGAGGAGGAATTCGGTTATTTGAAGAAAATTAATTTTATACTTTTACCAAATGTTTTTTAATGTATGACTTCTGCTTCTTCCAAAGACAAATAACGTGTAGCCCTTGTTTTTCCATCTTTCTTATTTTCTTCCTTTTCTCTTAGTGTTGAGCTGTTTGTTTTGGAGGATTGTTAGGTGTTGGTTTTCTGTTTGTTTGTTTTGTTGGCTGGTTTTTATTTTTTCGTCCTCATCTTTCATGTGTATCATCTCTTATTCTCCCATATGCAGCTGTCATGGTACTGCTGATACAACCCAGAGCACTCAGTTCCCTCTGCTTCCAGTCCAGACTCACAATGTGGAGAGGTGTGTAAAAATATTCTAAAAAAAGCCTGAATAATCTCAGCCATTAGGGCAACTATCCAGGAACATATTTACATTCCTAGACTATTTTTTAACAGGACTGTAAAATATGGTAAATAAAATGTCTAAAGTAATAGATGGAATTGTAGAGAAAGAAAGGAATATTTTCAGATGTCCTCAAGAGAGGAAAATGCAATTTTTTAATCTATATTAGCTAATCCCTGGGAAGGAAAAAGTTAGTAAGGGAAAATTTAATCTGTAATTTGTCACTGTAGAATTACATTTCATTTCAGTTAGCTGAAGTCTATGAATACTCTTCCTACTGAGTATAAGACTATACAATCGCTGATCTTATGCACATAGAAATAAAGAGAGATACAAAGGTGGTATGTCAGTGGAAAGTGGAAAAAAAGACATTGCTGACAGGAAAATACAAAAAACTTTGCTGTGTATAACATGCTAGTTTCAATATTAAAACATAAATTAACATGTTATCTAGTAATTAAGTGAATAATTAGTACTGCTATGAACTTCAATTGAAGATAGCGGACACTTCTACATTCAGCCATCATAAGACTTTTGGAACTCCCATTCTTCTTCTTTGACAACTTTTGGCTACACTTGGCCTTCTTCCCTCTCCTTAATGATATGGTCTTGGACCCAACCTCATTCAAGTAATTCTTCCAAAGACAAAAAGTTTTTCCAAGAACATAGAAATCCTAGGTACTACTGAGTGCATCTATATTAAAGTTCCAGAAGAACTGTAATGTTACCTGCTTTCCTGTTGTCTACATAGCTCTGCTTGGACAAGTCCAACCTACTACCTTCTG